AATGGGTCCTTCCAGATCTTACATTTTTGAATTGGTGCTCCAAGCCAAGGATATAATCAATAGGATCTTAATACAGAGAGGTTGTTTGGTGACAAGGGGACAAGGGAAGAGGAAAATGAGTGTAGCCAGGTTACAAGATATGAACAGAACCAATCAAAAAGCTAACTTTCTGGAGAGCCCTTGAGGCATTTAGGGTTAGAGTTTCTTCTATCCTTTTCCCTAGAGAGAGAATTAGCCCAATTGTCTATGGTGGCTTTGGATCTAGAGGTGGGTCAAGCGGTAGTTCCAAAGATTACTGGGGTGCAGAGAGCAGATATCCAGGCAGATCATCACCTGTATATCTATACATGTGGTGAAAACGGAGCTTTGATTGTACCAAATATACTCTTGCATGATAAGAGCTATGTTTAATAGATTGCACTGCTGGATTGAAACTGTCAGGAGTGTGTGGGGGGGAGGGGTATGTTCTTTGTGAGAATTCAAAGAAAGAAGAATGGAAAGCATTTTGTTTGGCTGCTAATGAGCCATCCATCAGCAGAGCTGACATTCTGTCAGAACAGCAGGGAGGGAGAGCCAGGCACCTCACCTTGACACCCCCTTCCCTTCCAGTGTCACCTGAGGTTATGAGTGCTTTAACCTACATCACTCATGTGTCTCACTCTATCCTAATATAATTAAGAGGGGAAGCAAGGTCAAAAAAGGTGAAGAGTTGAAAGCTCTGCTTGAAAGACAAGTCCAGGTGTCTCCCTTTTTTACCCTCTCTGCTCAAGAAGCTCAAGTATCTTACTGACCTTGCTTTTTTCTTGCCAAGAAACTGGGACTTTTAATATGTGACCTTTCCCAGAGGAATTGGCATTGTTTAGAAGGATGTGGGGAAAGCAATGCTATATCCAATGGACTGAATTCCTAATGATGGAATTCGTGGCATTAGAGAGGTAAATATTTGGGTTTATGGACTCTTCCTGAATCTCCTCATGGACACTAGTTCTGCCTACTCATACCAAAGTCCTGTCGTTGGGATGATGTCGAGGAAAGAGTAGAGGAGAATGATCACACAGGGGGAGAGAGCTCTGAAATGAGGACCCAAACAGAGAAAAGAGCTTCTCTAGCAAGTGTTAGGAACCCCAAACAAAGCAAATTTCTTGACTCTCTGATCCCCCCCATCTCACAAGACTTCTTAATGGGACCACTGAGTCACTACCCATGGGACCTTCCTTGCCCCTAGATACTGGGATTTAGAGTCTGCTTAATAATCAAAGTCTTCAAGAGCTGTAAATATTAATTTAGTAGCTCCCATTTGTAAACAAAGCTCTAATGGGCTAATTACAAATGATTCTTATTTACCACATTCACCTAGTCCCCCTTTAGTGAATGGATAGAATATTAATAAAATGGCATTTCTTTAACAAAAAAAAAAAAAAAAGTTGAGGCTTATCCTGCAGCGAAAAGAACAGTGAATTTGTGGTCAAAAGCCCTGGGTTCAAATTGTGCCATTGTCACTTATTAAATGCGTAAACTTTGGAAAGTTATTTTTCCTCCCTTGGCCTCAGTTTTCTCCTTTATGAAATGAGTTGGTTGGATATAGTTGGCCTTTAAGGCCTTGTCAAATTCTAAGTTACGACCTTTTGATCCCAATCACTCTGACTTTCAAAGTTATTTCAATATGGCCTTCTCTGTTTATTACTTTGATTTCAGGAGGTTTGCCTATTTTTGCATAATAATAATGATCACAACAATAGCTCATATTTAAATGGAACATTAAGATTCCATTAGGGTTTACAAACTATTTTCCTTGCCACAACTCTGGAAGTTAGAAAGTATCTCAAATCAGCTGGAGATGTGAAGAAAGGGAAAACAGGGTCTCTGTTCTCTAGAAGTTAACATTTAAATGGGGGAGACAACATGCATGTAATTATATGCATGCAAGATAATAGAGAGTAGGGGTAGGAGATAATTTCAGAGAGAAAAGACCAACAGAGTGTGAGGTGAGGAGAAGGAAAAGCCTGTGGAAGTGACAATTGAGTTGTCTTAAAGGAATCTAGAGAAGCCAGAAGGAGGAGGTAAGGAGGGAGAATATTCCAGGAGTGGAGGAAAGCCAGAACTGGGTAATGGATTGGCACGTGCCAGGAGAAGCAAATAGGCCAATAAAAAGAGTGTAAAGGTAGAAAAGACCCAAGTTACCAAGGGTTTTAAAAGCTCAACAGTACTTATATTTGAGAGCAGCTAGGTGGCACAGTGGATGGAGTACTGGGCATAAAGTCAGGAAGACTCATCTTTCTGAGTTCAAATCTGGCCTTAGACACCTACTAACTGTGTGATCATGGACAAGTCACTTAATCATGTTTGCTTCAGTTCCCTCATCTGTAAAATGAGCTGTAGAAGGAAATGGCAAGCCACTCTAGTATCTTTGCCAAGAAAACCCCAAATGGGGTCACAGAGAGTTGGACACAAACAAAAAAAATGATTCAACAGCAATAACTTATACTTGATCCTAGAGGCAATAAGGAGAAGAGGAGTGATGCAAGGTTAAATCTCAGGAGAGAGATTAGGGTTGGTCTTAAAAAATCTGGAAATCATCACTATAAAGATGATAATTGAACCCATGGAGCTAATGAGATCATTAAGTAAGATAGAATAGGAGAGAAGAAGAAGATTCAGGACAGACCTTTGAGGGTCAATCACAATTGGTGCATGTGACCTGGATTTACATGAAATAAAGGGAATTGAGAAACAGGGGTCAGCCAGGTTGAAGGAGACTCAGGAAAGCTCAATGTCTGTATAAGATATATGGATTTGTGGACTAACCCTTGGGGTTGTCTATACATATACCTATGTACATACATACATGCATTCATTCATTATTTATTTATCTATCTATCTATATTTTAGAGGATAGCTAGGTGGCACAGTGGATAGAGTGACATGCCTAGAGTCAGGAAGACTTATCTTCCTGAGTTCAAATCTGGGCTCAGACACTTAATAGCTGTATGACCCTGGGCAGGTCACTTTATCCTGTTTGTCTTAGTTTCCTTATCCCTAAAATGAACTGGAGAAGGAAATGGCAAAACACTTCAGTATCTTTTTCAAGAAAACCCCGAATGGGGTCACATAAAGTCAGACATATCTGAAAAACGACTGAACAACAACAACATATATATTTGAATATATAGTAGAAAATCTTCATTCACTATGTTTCTTTCCCATATCAATAATTTGGAAAATTATTTTGATTATGGAATTCATTTTGGAGGCCATACAATGGTCATAGAATATATACAGTGCGCATACCATCATCTACAAATAGGAAAATTTTGGAGACCTCACAATAATTGTGGGGCCTTTTCGACTTGCTGTCTGCACTATACACCTTCTATGGCAATGGAGAATGCCTTTGACGATCATATTTTGTACCTACTTGATATTAATAATCTGAAGATGATCTAATGGGGGTATTGTTTCATTTTTCAGAAAATTTTATATGAAGATTTCTCTATCTGATCATAATCTTCTCTCATCCCATCTTTTCCTCTGCCTTATGATCCCTAACACTGGTCTTTGTTCTCACCATGATCTCCAATCTCTCCATGGCTCTGTTCTTTTGTAGGCTATCACTTATATACTGGCTATACTGTTCTCCTTATTTATCTCAACCCCTTGTTGAAACAGTTCCATTCTACACAAGTCTTTGTGCTCAAATCCCTTGCTCTTTTGTCCATTTTACAGATGAACAAACTGAAGATCAAAGAGAGGAAGGTACTTACCCATGGTCACATGGCTAGGAAGTGATGGGACTCAAACCCAAAACATTTGACTTTCAGTTCTGCTTTTTGTCCACTACAGTTGCCTCAGCTGCTCAATTTGCTTTTCTAATGTCAACTTGGTCCTAGCCTCTAGGTATGAGTGACTATAGGTTATCAGTTACAATTTCCCCCTCTAGGGGCCCTTATACAGGAGAAAACCAGCTGGGCTTCTCTGAGCTGATTTTGACCAAGTGCTGGAGCCAAAGGCATTTCAAAGGAAACAGTTCTGGAAGAAACTTAAAGAAATAAAATCAGAAACAAGATTGTGTGTGTGTGCCTATCTAAGCATATGCATCTGTGAAAGTGGATGATAAAAAGAAGGAATTTGTTAAAGCAGGCAGAAGACATCTCCATCTCCATCCCCTGCTCCGCTCTCCCCGAAAGGCACCGGTGTCTCTCAGCAGGAGCTGCCAACAAAATGACACTGCCCAGCAGGGACCCTGCTTGGTGATGCTAACTAGGCCTGAAGAATTGGCTTTCTCATTAGGAATCACAAAAGTTTTCGACCTAGACAATAAATAAGTTTGGCACAGTCCTGTGGGGAAATTTTAAGGGAATGGGAGATGGAAGGATCAGACACACAGATAAAAACAAATACTTTGGAAATGATGAGTCCAAGCATAAACCTTAACTACATGGCAGAAAATTCAATTTGCTCAAAAAAACCAATGTCTTATCAGATAAAGACCAGAGTTTTTGCGTTCCCAACAGTCACTGTTGGATATTCCCTTCGTTCATTTGACACTCTTTAATCTTGGTTCTATAGTTCATCTTACCTTTTATTGATGGGTTTTGTTGTTGTATTTACAGATTACTCCCACTAATTAGAGGCTTCTTATTACAAAGTAAAACTAATTATATACTTGTTATATGTAAACAGTTAAGTTAAACCAGTAATAGAGAACCTTGTCTGAAAGTATATGCAACATTTTGCATCTGTAGGGTCTTCCCACCTCATTAAAAAAAATTACAAATCTATTTTCTCTCCTTTCAACCTCCACTCCACTGGGGTAAAAAAAAGAAAAGAAAAACAAATTTCTTGTAACAAAAATCACAATCAGGTAAACAAATTCCTTTAATGACTGTACATAGATCTGTACATAGATAAATAGATAAAATGTGATAAATACATAATGTGAAATATGATATATTATATGACATGATGTATTATATATGACATGAAATGGTTAGCATGTCCCATCATCAGTTGATTGGCATCATGAATAGTCACTGTTTTTATCATAGTTCTTATAGCTTTCAGAGTTGTTTGTTTTTTACAGTATTGTTCTTAGTGATGATGTTGCACTGCTAAAAATAGGACAGGAATATGACCCTTGAAATGGATGTTCTAACCTTGGAAACCAGGCACCAGCATGAAAGCTATCAGTGACTGTGGGTCAGGAGCTGGCAGGACATCAAAAATCCAGTTAGGCAAGGAAATGCTGAAGAATCATTTGTGTAACAGCTGTCAGGCAGTCAAAGGGTCTGTAGTCCTGGCAGACAGACATGTTGGGTTGAGGCACAACAATCTTAGTTCTGTGATGCAATCCCAAGTAAGATTTGCTTCAGCAGAAGTTCTCAAATAACTCCTTCCTCTCACAGGAGTCTGAGGGTTGGAGCGTTATTGAGGCTGTTGGTGAAGGTAGCAATAGTATTGGTGAACACGATAATCATACTGATATTGCCCACATTTACATATTGCTTTATGGTTTACAAAGTGCTATCCCCCCAATAACTATGTGAGGGAGGCAATATGCATCTTTTTTTTTTTTCTTTTGAGGCAATCAGGGTTAAAGACTTGCTTAGGGTCACATAGCTATTAAATATCTGAGGCTGGATTTGAACTCAGGTCTTCCTGACTCCAAGGCTAGTACTCTATTCACTGCGCCACCTAGCTGCCTGCAGCAATATGCATCTTAATTTTACAGATGAAGAAACAGAGATCCAGAGAGATGAAGTGGCTTACCTTTTGCTAGTTGCATGACATTGCAGATGGGTACTGGATTTGGAATCAGTACACTTGTTTTGAGATGAAGCTTGTACCATTTGATAGCTGTGTGACCTTAGTTAGATCTGGTACTCCTCTGATTCTCAGCTTCCCCATCTGTTAAATGAAAGTAATGCTATGTATCCTACCTCTATAACAAAGCTGCTGTATACTTTATGATGGCTCAAAAGAGGAGATACAAGAAAATACCCCTTTGCAGAGATGGGAGGTCCACAAGTGCTGTACCTTGCATGTATTTTCAGGCTTCTTCAAAATATTGATTACTTTTGCTAAATTTTCTCCTTTTTTGTCTTTAAAATGTTACTTATATTGGATGGCTCCCTGGGAAGGGGAAGAGGAGGAATACTAAGGAATACGTAATGTAAAAGACAAAAAACATTAATTTATAAGTGCTTTATAAACCTAAAAGAACTTCAGGAATTTGAGCTGCAATTGTTATAAATGGCACGGCCAGGACTAGAACCTTGTGTTATTTACCTCTCAAATTTGTTGTGAGAGTTAAATGAGGTAATGTATGTGGAGCACTTTGAAAACTTTAAAACATTGTGTAAATGTCAAATAAGATTATATAAATTGCAATGAAAAAAAATACCCTTCATTGGTGGAGGGAATTTCCTCACCTGAGAGTTAGTTCTCTATACCAAAGAAATCACAAATGATGTTCCTATACCTATCTCTAACACTAACGAGGTATCTCCAATGTGTACAATAAAATCAAATGAAATTATATGATAGAAGTAATCATAAATACTCTCTGTTTGATTTCTCTCTATTAATGCAAAGAGAGAGACAAAACAGGAAGATATAACCTTGCTAAATGTATTTGTTATTGTTGTACACTCAGAGTACAAATCGAAAAGTTAAAATCTCCCAGATGCTCTTATTGGAAGGTTAGGTTTTGGGAACTACATCCATCCACTGGTCATTGTGTGACTACAAAAATGAGATACACAATAGAAAACTTTTTTTTTTCTAAATGCTCGTATCAGAGGAGACAAAAAAGAACTAAAAATGTCTACTCTCCAGTCTATGATATGTAGCCCTAAGAGTTCGTCCATTTGTAGGTATACCTTGGACAGACAGTGAAATGTTCAATGAACTGGGCCCATAATGGAAGAGGAGGAAGAGAGTAAGATAGATTTCATTTAGGAAAATGTGTAGGTCTTATAATGATTTCAAGCATCTCCATGAAGCAATCTTTTAACACCAGTATTCTTTTAGAGGTGGTATATGATTGTGAATCATGGAATTTCTCAATATCCAAAGAATTAAAATTGTATGTAGGCCAAAGGGCACTGAAGAAACAAACAACAAGTTAATATTTATATAAAACACTTTAAAGTTTTCAAAATACTTTACAAATGTTATCAAATTGATCTTTATAATAACTATGAGAGGTGGGCTATGTTATTTTCCCCACTTTACAAGTGAGGAAACTGAGGTAGGCAGAGGTTAAGTGGCTTGCCCAGAGTCAGAGAGTATCTAAAACCAAATTTGAATTTGGGTCTTCGTGACAATGGGTCTGGGATTCTATCTACTGTACCACATAGCTGCTCAGTATAGAAATAAATAGACAAGTGTTTACTAACAGAATCATACATGACACTATAAAAGGTATCAGAGGTGATATGCAATGAGCCATTCTTGAAGCCGACCTATGGAAAACGTACAGACACTGTGTCACAGAGAGCAATCTATTTAATTAATAAAATACCAAGGAACCTAGAAGAAGGCCTATAAGGCATCAAATTTCTGAGTGAAAATGAACAAAATAGGTAGGATAAGAATTTGTTACTGAACTGTGAGCTGAGGGATTAGATTATCCCCATCCCCATCCACGAGATCACAGATTCTTGAACTTGTTATCCAAGTAGTAAAATGGAATAGAGATCGGACCTGTGATATCACTGGTATAGGAGACTTATAGTTCAGGGAACTCTCCTAATATAGGTCAGCATCTTCTTTTTAACTTATGGACTTAGAAGTTTCCCAGGTCACAGAGAGGTTAAGTGATTTTCCCAGTCTCCCAGCCAGTATATCTCACAGTCAGACCTTGGACTTGGGTCTTAATGGCTTCAAGGCTGGCTCTATTGGCAAAGCCACACTACCTGCATTATAACATAATTATATGAACATTACATTTAGGGAATTGCATAGTATCCTTAATGATGTCTAGCACAAAACCCCATATTATTAACACAGATCTTCCAGTGATTCTGAACTTAAATGAATTTTGGAATACCACAATTTCAAAAGAAGGAAAGTTGGAAGTGACCCAAAGGGTAATGGAAAGATACATCAGGCACAGGTAGGCAGATGCATGTTTCCAATGACGGCATACTTGCAAGAAGTAATATTAGGAGAATCATTCAGGAAACATATGAAGGATCACATGGAAAGACCAGGTTTGGTCTGCATTGATGGAGGGGCCATAGGAATGAGAGCGCATATCCATTGAAGCATGAGTACAGCATAGGATCATAGATCTAGAGAAGAAAAGGACCTTAGAGTCCTTCTAGTCTAAATCCCTCACTTTACAGGCAAGAAAACTGAGGCCCAGAGTGGTTACAAGTGTTTGTCAGAGGTGAGATTTAAACCCTGGTCCTCACACTCCGAGGTAAGTGTTCTTTCCATTTAATCAAGTTGTATGATTCAATTCAGTTCACTTTAGGTTAATTCAGTTCAATGCAAAGCCTGGGTAGGATTTGAATAGCAGGGGTAAGAACACTTTGGGAGGTGTGGGAAAGGAATAGCATGTATAACAATAATTGAACCAGTGTGGGTCAAGGAGATCTGGGGTATGTACCCTCTCCTACCAAGGGGCCCCTAGATTTGAGTTGACATATAAGGTTCATTCGCAAAAAAGCCTGGCCTTGAAAAAGAAGAATCAGGTTCTTTATTCTTCTACCCCAGAATTCTGAGGAAAATAAGTTTAAATCTTAAAGTAAGCTTTTGTGTCAAGTGTCTCTCAAAAAGGGAGTAGAAAGGTACTCAATGTACATTGTTGATATAGGATAGATATTTATTTCTTGTCACACATGGGAAAAGCTTAAGAAACAAAAGGCTCATAGTCATGCATTGACAAAGACTGAAACAGGCTATAGTAACCCACAACTCCTATTATACTTTGCTGAAAAGTTGATACTTTAAACACTAAAAAAAATACAGTGGGTTTGATGGACAGTCACTTCATCTTCAATTTGGCTCTGCACTGTCTAAATAAGTGCCTCAGGAAAAAAAAATAGCATCTTCTGACAAGCCAGACCAAGAGTTGGCTACATCCTCTTGTTAGTGGCCATTATTTCTGAGAAGAACTACAGGCATTACTACTGCAAGTCAACAGACCCTGACGGTGGAACCCCAGCACTTCTCAATTCCCACACTAGCCACTTGCATAGTGTCCACCTCTACTGATGGATATTCAGTCATCTGTGCTCAGAGAAAGAAATGAAAAGCAGAAGAAGCAAGCAAGGGTCTGATCCCACGCTCAGATTTCCGTAAGTCACATATAGGCCTGCTGCATGTAGGAGCACTGGCCATGGCTACCCGGATGAGAGAGATACAGTCCTTGTCCTCACCAATAAGTCCTAAAGCAGTAGTCCCATACTATACTTTCTAGAAAAAAAAAAGGAAAGACTGAGAGGAAACGTTGTTTCTCCCTTAAAAATCTACTAAGTGGGCTGCTCTTCCTGAGTCATACCCCTTGCCTCTGTCTGGGTGTTGCCATTTACTACTGTTTTTATCACAGACAAGTCCCATCCTCCCTTTGGGCATATTTCTTCAGCTGTCGAATGAAGGGATTGGATTTTAGGAGGGCAGCAGCCTGGTTAAAGCAGAAGACGTATGAAAGAAGAAGTAGAAGACAGCTTCAGTTCATAACTCATCAGGTCTCCCTCTGTGTTTATATCATGTTTTCATGATTTACTTCATTTGAACCTCATGATCACCTTGTCAGTTTGGTAGTGGAAGTATTATTATCCCCATTTTACAGATGAGGAAAAGTACAACTTTGGGTGGGGAGGAGAATGACTTACACAGGCAGTAAAGACAGAGACAATTGGGTCCAGATTTTGGACTCTGGCCCAGTTCACATTTTATTGAAGTACAATACCTCTTTCTGAAAGAAGGACTCTTTTTCTCCTTTAGCAATAATCTTACTCCTGAGGGAGGAGATCAGGCATGTGGGGGCTTAAAATGCTCTGTTTTTTGCTTCTCAAATCTCTTTCTGTCTCCATCTCTATCTTTGTCTCTGTCTTTCTATCTCTCCTTTGTTTCTCTGTCTCTGTGTCTATCCATCTGTCTGTCCATATTTGTCTTCCTCTCTCCCACTTCAAAGAAGTCACGTGTAAAATAGGTGGAGAGGGGAAAGAAGAGGATGTTTCCAGGCATGAACTGGCTCCTTGACATTGAGAAAGCCTTCTAAAATTGCCTGGTTCTCAGGATGCTTTAATTTCACATCTTCTTTTTGACTTCTTGGCAGTTATTTCTTTGAGAGCTCATCATCTGCCAGCACCCCCAGACCATTTTCTTACAATTGAATTTATGTCTCTTTTCTGCCTTTCACCATATGTAGGTACGTATGCATGTCTATTATCACCGTCTCCTGGTTTGAGGTTTGGGGTTTGTTTGGTTTAGTTTTCCTATCATAAACAGTGTTTCCATTTGGCTGCAGTCGTCCGGGGGAGACCTATAAAATCTGACTCAGGAACAAACAGAGAGAGAGAGAGGGAAAAAAAATACAGGAAACAAAAGTAATATGGGGAGAAAATGAAAGAGATTTAGTGCAGCTATCAACCGGCCGTTGTGCCGGCTTTAAGAGTCTGTTGAAACAACATAATAAAAGACAATAAAGGTAGGATTTATGACCTACCTGGTGGAAGTGGTTGATGCTTTGTATCCTAAACACATACATCCCACCCCGGTCTCTGCTCCAGAAGGGGGCTCTGCTTTTCCGGGGTGCTGTCCCTCAAATCACTCAGAACACAAGAGAAGCAGCAGATAGCCTTGGAAGGGTCAAAGGTGGATTAAACAGGGGGTAGGTTAAACATCCTCTGGCTTCTTGGTCTCTTTCCAGCCCTTGCTTGGTTCCTTTGAGT